GCCGCGAGCCAAATAGCAAAACTCATTCAATAAAAGAAGTAATAAATACATAAAAGTCCCATCATCACACCCTTTCCCTCGTTTTGAATTTCAAACCGCACCCGTACCAATTCCCAAAAATACCCCCCCAAAATCCCCCACTCCTGGTCTCCAAACGGTCACGAACCCATTTCTCTCTCTCTCTCTCTCTCTCTCTCTCCCCACCAAAATTTCTAGGGTTTTTCTTTCCCCTCTCATCGATGGCGACCGAGGTTCAGGAATCGTACGAGGAGCTCCGAAGGAAGAAGCTCGAGGAGAACAAGAGGAAGCTGGACGAGCTCAAGCTTCATTACATCTCCTCCTCCCTTCGAGAAGCTTCTGCTTCTCCCAAACCCTCTCCTGTGGGCCCCCAGCGATCCCTTTCTCTCTCTCTCTCTCTCTTTAAGAATCGATCTTGATTTGACTTGTATCTTAAAGTTCGAATCTTTGGTTTGCTTGCAGGTGAAGAGGGTGAAGAGACAAGCTCTGGAACCGTCTCCGATCAAGCGGCGATCCGATCGGATCGCCAATCTCCCGGAACCAGCCTACAAAGAGGTGATACTGATTTTTATTTGGTTCAAGAGATTTTTCCTGTCAGGTTTGATTCCTGTGATAAGTATTGGTCATTAGGGTTAATAAATTCTCAATTTCTTGATTGGAAATTAGTGCTGTATATAAGTATGGAAATTAGTTGGCTTACGGTTTAAACTAAATTTAAGGAATCCAGATATCTAACAAACCCACATTGCACTTGGTCAACGTGGGACTAATGGACCCCAAAGTCAGGCTGCTTTGCACTAGTATAGTCTCAGTAACTATGTTGCCTGGGTACTTCGTTCGTAGTACCCGTACCCGAACATCTTGCACACTCCTTGCATATATGCATACATTTATCTGAGCATGTACTCAATTATACAACACATGGTTTAATTTAGAACATTTGTCATACATTTCCTAGGCATACATCCTACACTTCACATCCACTTCTTGAAGCTTGTTGGACGATGGTTAGGTTCTGAATTATAATTTTGAAGGGTCATTCAGATGTCCAGTTAAAAAACTAGTGATGTTCCAACTTATAATCCACATAATAAAAGAAACATAAAATGTTGTAGGAATTATATTTCTCACCATTGTTCTCATAAATTATTATTTTCAATATATAATATGTGTGTATATAAATATTTATACAGTCGTGTTCTTGAACCCTACCTTTTATAAATTTGTTGTCTCATACCTGTACCCGTACCTATGCAACATAGCTTAGTGGAATGCTGCAAAAATCCTGGCAACATCCCGTACCTATGCAACATAGCTCAGTGGAATGCTGCAAAAATCCTGGCAACATCTCTTTGGTTTTCCACTAGACTAATTCTGAGCAAACACTGCAATGTTGTCGTCACCACCTACACAGCTTGTTTACAAATGGAAAGATGGGATTGGCTCTTATACTATTTGTAAGAGACTAGGAGAAATCACCCTTAAAAGATTGCTAGAGTGAGAGAATCTAAATCTCTTTTGAACATTGATTCTCTATTTAGTCAATTTGGGACTAAATAAACTTTATCGATAAATTATCTGTCCTTGATGTTTGTGACGTTAACAAATTGACCGAGGTTAATCCTAAATTTGGGTTTTTAATCTATTTTCTTAGTTTATCTATTTGCTTGCAACTAGATGAGCATATAGACAAAGCTAAGTTGCATGGTATATAATCATAGTTTTGAGCTACATATGTAAACAACCATTTTAGATCATAGCTCTTAAGGCTGAAATAAGCTCGACCCTTATCCAATACGTTAACAAAATGGATGTGAAGTGTAGGATATATATCCAAGAAGTGTATGCCGAATGTTTTAAATTAACATGTATTGTATAATTGAGTACATGTCTGAATAAATACATGCAGATATTTAAGGAGTGTCCAATATGTGTCGGGTACAGTTAGAGGTACGACATGTGTTGGGTATGGGTACAACTCCATATTAGAAGCATCCAGGTAGCATAGAGACAAAGAGAGTTATTTAAGTGAAACAGTGGGTAACTCCCCTGTGTTTCTTTAATAAAAGTTCAGCAAAACAATCTAAGGTAAACAATAAAAAGAAAATGAAGGGAAGAAGATCATAAGATTTTCTAAGTGGACCTAACAACAAATATTCATCCTTGATATTTGGAAGGTTAACCAAATTGACTAAGCATAATCCTAAATTTGGGTTTTGTAATCTATTTTCCTAAGTTTATGCACTTGCTTGCTACTGGACAAGCCTCCATACAAAGTGGCAGATGATAAGATTTTTTATGGGGAACTGCATCAGTCTTTAACAGGTAGACAACTTCAGCAAATGTACAAACTAATATTTTGAAATGTAATGTTGGAGCGAGCCCTATATATGGAAGTTACCTCAAGCATCCTATGGAGCAGTCTTAGCAATTCATTGGTAAATTTTGTTTGTGCTCTGAGGTCCACAGTTTACAGTTTTGTTTTTTACCAATGCTTTGATAATTTATATGTTACATAATACATGCCATGTTTACTTGCTGTATCTGCTGTAAAATTTCCTTTTTTTCCCATTGATTTCAAGTAGGATGTAGTGTTTAAAATGTTCATGCAATTATATGAAATAGGTAAGGTGAACCTTGTGAGTATGGACGTTACCTGGTTAGAAAGTGAGAGACTTTTTGCTTATGAGTATGGATGTTACCTGGTTAGAAAGTGAGACTTTTTGCTTAAACACCCTCAGGAGAGGATCCAACTTTAAGGTTCTAATCCAACTTCCCTATTCCTGTCTGATGTTTACCAAAATTTCTGCCCTCTTTTAGCAATTGTGTTGACAGGAATAATATATTAGCAAATGCCAAATGAACTAGAGTAATTTATAGTTTCTGGAATCTACAGCATATTTTACATCACAGTGTTTTGGAGAATTAAAAGCGAATATCTCTTAATCTTTCAGTAACACATTGGCGTTTGACAGGTAATTCCTGATGTTGTACCACGACCCAGGAAGTAAGTATTTAAGAGAACTCACTAATATGCTTAAATCTTAACCGTATATCATCTCCAAATCTGAAGCTTCTTAATTGTTTTTTCATGGGACTTGCAGAATGATATCTAAACACAGAGACTTATCAGGTCGTGTGTATGCTTCGGATGAAGCTAGAGCTTACACGATAGAAAAGGCAGAGCAGTTAGAGGCAGAACTTGGAAATGAACATCCTTCCTTCATCAAACCCATGCTCCAATCACATACCACTGGAGGATTTTGGCTTGTAAGTGCATAAAGTATTGCGCAAAATCTCTTTTAGTTTATAAATTAGAGAAACTCCCTGAAAATTCAAAATTATAGTATCCCGTCCAGACCATTAGAAATTATCATACACAATGCTAACATGAATGGTAAAAGATCTAAACTAGCTCTTACCTACTCTAACTCTAAAAATTCTCAGTAAGTAAATAATGCGAAAAGTTTCCAAACACATGTATTTACAGTTCAGTGGAACAAGTTCATGGGTCTTTTCTCTAATTTATTATGATTTTTTTCGTTTGTGCGTGTGTTTGAGCTAAAGAAGCCAATATTTAGCAGGCTTTGTGAAAGTTACCTTTTCTACTTTCTTTTATGTAATTATATGGCTTTGAGATCCTTGAACAGGGTCTTCCTAACCAATTCTGCAGCAAGCATCTACCAAAAAATGATTCAACAATCATTTTAATAGATGAAGATGGGTCGAAATCAGACACTACCTATCTTGCGCGTAAGAAAGGACTAAGTGCTGGATGGAGAGGCTTTTCTATTAATCATGATTTGGTTGATGGAGATGCTTTGGTTTTTCAGTTGATCAACTCTTCAACGTTCAAGGTGACGATGGTTTTGTCAAATTGGATAATTTCCTTACGTATGCATGTCTTTTCCCCCCTACCAATTTTCCAACTTGAATCTCTCTACTGCAGTTAGTTTTATGTACAACGTCTGTCTATTCTTAGTCTAGCTACAACTATTTCTTTACTTGGGGTAAAAAATAACGTGTAATCTTTTCTATATAAAGCTAGCTCTTTTCACATCTTCATTTTCAGGTTTACATTTTCAGAGCAAGGGAATATGATAGCAGTTGATGCAGCTATGGGCATGAGTTTTGATGCTAATGCTAAAGGTTAAATTAGAAAAAGGTGACCATCATCTACTTAGTTTGTGGACCCTGCTTTGATGATTGTTATAAGTTTTGCATGGTAGTCACATATGAAAATATTTGACTGGATATACCTTTGAGTTGATTGTTATTTGTGAATTAGGAAACAACTGAACACGTCTTATGCATTACTTAGAGTTTGGTTCCATGAGTTGATTCTGCAACATAGAGCGTATCTATGCTTCTTTTTTTTATATAAAAGAGAATGCCCATGTCAAAACTTTTGATTTCCTTTTTTGCCCTCACAATTTTTTATAACTCGCAATTATGCCATTATTATTTACGAAACTAATGATCCATAAAATGCAATTAATCCGAACTTTTTAATATGGCACTTCTATAGTTATATAAATTAACATAAAATGCTCTATTAAGTCTTTATATGTATGCTTTTTATTCAATATGTGCATGTACAATCTTGCATGTAGAGCACCTGTATACTAAAGAAGTCGTAATATATATTAAATAACATTTAGCTGCCTGGTAGAGGTAGTCAACATTGCATACAAGTAGAACATTAAAGTAAAGAGATAGCTTTTGTCGCAAATTTGACAACGATAATCATCAACAGATCTTAATATCAAGGTTTAGTTGAGCTTTTTAAGTCCTTCCTCAATGTCGGTCGCATATTAGTATTTCTCAGGAAAATGTGCTTCCAAGAATTATAGTTCATTTACGACTAGTAATATTCCTTATTCTTTCACATCATCCAAAGAACTATGTGATTAAATTGTCATAATTTAACTTATCCTCCTCCTATGCTACATGCAGATTATATCTTTTCTAGAAGCTGCTCTCTTGCTCCAGGAAAGGCGGGGACATTTATGTTGAATTGCGCAGCTTTTGCACCTTTTGTTGTATTCAAAGCAGGCTAAAACTTCCATGATTAGGACTTGTACTGGTGTTCCAGTATTAATGCAGCTGCTATAAATATTAGATGGAAATCTGAATTTTTCCCAGAACGCTCAGGGCGGTCAAAACCTGTCGAAGTTCGTCGACTCGCGCGCGCGCGAACCAGCAACGAAAAACTACGGTTGCATACTGCTAAACTTTCAAATTGAACCGAACAACTAAAATTGCATGTGACAACAGTTTGCATCGTCCGCCGTTGCACGCAACCAGCCCTCGCATTTGCAATTAATGTGAAACAAACAGCTACAACGCCTTTAACTGGCTAAGTAGACTTGTGTCAATGGCCTCCGCTCCCAATCAAGTCCGCATCAAGCCGCTGAATTCAACGCGCATACGCTTGCCTAGATTGTTGTCACATAAATTTCCTTCCTCAGCCCCACAAAGTTCTTCCTTGTACGCAAGCAAGCAATCAATGACTCGGTAGGCTCGGAAATAAAAGCCAGATTCTAGCCGGATCCATCCAATTTCCCACTTCACAACTAGCCATTTTCAAGTGGGATAATAACATTTAATTTTTAGACAATTAGGGGGCGTTTGGTTCCTGTTTTTGGAGAGAGAAAGTAAGGGGAAAGCTATAAAAATGTCAGCTTTTTGGCAGCTTTTCTCCAAAATCGTCTTTTTAAGAGGCGATTTTAAAGAGACGATTTTGGGGGAAAGCTGCCAAAAAGCTGATATTTTTGGCAGCTTTCCCCTATTTTACAACTCCAAAAAAAACAATCCAAGCGGGCCCTAAATGTATTTCAGCCATTTTGTCTAACACTTAACCCTTTTAGTTGAACTTTCCGAAAGTTCTAACTAAATTTGTAAAACTCCCCTCAAGTCTAAGGTGGCTTTTAGGGGGCTGTTTGGTTGGCTGGGAAACTAAGAAAAAGAAAAATCAAAACACCCAAGACAACCATGCGAAGATGTTTGATTTCCTTTTCTTGTGTTTGGTTGGGAGAAAAAAAAAAGAGATGTTGTGCATGTAGGATCCACCCACTTGTAAGATAATAGTGCCATGGTCCCAAATTTAAGGAAATACATTTTCTCCCAAAAAGTTATGAAAATGCATCCCACAACCTATTTCCCATGAGTAATCTCCCAAACTTGGGTTTCTAGGAAATGAACCAAACAGCCCCTTAGGGAGTTTCCGAAGTTAAGGGGTGTTCCGCAACTTACTCCAAAGTTCAAGGGGTTTACTAAAAAATCTATCCTTCTTCCGTATAATACCGTACGGATACCAACTGCCACCCTCGTTTCCCCCTCACGCTTTCCCTCGCTTTCCCGTACTCCTCGGCTCGCGAGAAAAACGAGAACGCCGAACAACTCGGGCCCCGTAATTCTCCTCAAATCGCGAGGGCATTCTCGAAAAAACGCCACCAATAAAATAAATCTATTTATTTTCTCGTGCTCTGCGGGAGGAAAGAAGCTTTTTAGATCGTACGGCTCTGATTGCTTGCTTGGCTGGCGCTAGCGGGGGTACAGCTGCGCGTACGGCGTAAAAACGCTGGTCCCGTCGCCGTTCTCGCTCACTTTATTCGTTTGGGCCCAGGACTTTACCGAAATAACCCTCCCGTCCTGATGAGGGGCGGATCGCGAATAAGGTGGGGGGTTGGGGTGGTTTCTGGAAAATGCGGTGAGGCGGTCGGGGAATGGAGAGCGCGAGTGTCGCTGTCGTGACATACCGACGCGAGTCAAAGCGAAGTCCACGTCGGTATTTATGGAAATGGTAGGGGTAAATCCGTCATTTGGGAGGCCCCTTCCGGGAACCGAATGGACCCTTTACTTTTGCGTGGTAGCACCTCTTAATTTTCGATATTGGCTATTCTACTCTGTGGTCAACAGAGTTTATTTTGTATTATACATTACGGAATAATTAATTTTGTGAAATATATATATTATATATATATCATATACAAATGAAATAGCTGCATGTTGTCACTCTTTCGCTCATATTTTTTTGGTCTTGATAAAAAACCCAAAATTAAATTTTTCCCCCCCGTGAACACGATAAATGCATTTTACCGAGTACATTTTTTAGGAGGCATGATAGACATGAAAATAAAGATTAAAAAAGCATGATTGTTGTATTTAGGGTTTGTTATATTAGTTCCTTAAATATTTAATGCTTTGAAATTTGTCTCCTAAATCATTAAAATTTCTATCAGATTCTCCAATTTATATATTTACTAATCTTTTAATTCCATGCAAATCGTTGTTTTAACGTAATCTCTTAATTATCGTTTACAAAGCGCTAGCATTATTCCCATGATAAGCACAACTTAATGCTTAAGTAAATTTGAAACAATCAAATAATAACGTGTAACTTCTCCATCCGATTTCACTATAGAGTAAATATGTTTTTAAGCTTCAAAAAATATATAAACAGTGCTTTAAGGTTCGAGTTTGATGTAGCGTGAACAGAATTTTGTTGTAGCATAAACAGTAGAATGAAATAGCGTAAATAGTAGCATGAGTTTTGCTGCGACATTAACAGGTGTTTTACTGTTTCAAAATTTACTGTAGCATGAGTGACATATTTAACTGTAACACGAATAACGACTTTAAAGGCTTTGCTTTTAAGTTTTAAATTAGCATGAGTTTTGCTATAGCACTAACCGGTATTTTGTGGTATCATAATCTACTGTAGCATGAATAACATTTAACCGGTATTTTGTGCTACCACTTATTTAATTTGAATGAATTAATTTAAAATAACTTTGTAAGAATTGAGTGGCGTAATAGTAACATTTCAATTATTTGAGAGACTAATTTTGCCCTAAGGATCCTATCAGAACCACCCTTATAGGAGCGGGGCGATCTAGGGTGTTCTGATAGAATATTTACTCATAATTTCAAAACGACTTGCACGGACCGTAACAGCAACTTTAGTGATTTGAGGGACCAAATCAGAATATTAAAGATGCAAGGTGCTAATATCGAAAAAGCCCAAAATAAATTTGAGATTTGAGAAAGGCGTATATGCAAAAGAGCCCGCAAATAAAACCTAACCCCTTCTCTCTCTCATCTCTGGTGTCTCTCTCATCCACACGCAGCCATGACCCCTTGAATCGTCGATGGGCCGGGTGGGCTTCGGCATAGCGGTGGGCTGCGCCGCTCTCTCCCTCACGATCGCCGGGATCCTGGTGACCAAACGAGTCAAGAATCGCCGGAAATGGTCGAGGATCCTCGAGATTCTCGCGGAGTTCGAGGAGGGATGCTCGACGTCGACGGCGAGGCTGAGGCAGGTGGTGGGCGCGATGACCGTCGAGATGCACGCCGGACTCGCCTCCGACGGCGGAAGCAAGCTCGGCATGCTTCTCACTTTCATCGATAAGCTCCCCACTGGGTAAATTTCTCGACTTTTGGCTTATTTGCACTTCGGTACCCCAAGTTTTGAAGTTGTGATGCTCGAAAGACCTAACTTTACTCACTTCCCTCCAGTTTTTGGCTGGGGAGAGATTTTGTTTGCCGTTCGTTCTTCTATATTGGTGTTTTTGAACGAAAGTAACATCATTTTTTTGTTGTTGTTGCACTTTGGGGTATCAAATTGTCAAAATAGAAATTTATGTACCTTGAAGTTAGAAAAGGGTAGACCTTTGGGGTATTAGAGTGCAATTAACCCTTTTATTTTTGTGTTAGTAGCTTCAGTATTGCTACCCATTTGAGAATATGATCATTAACCTCTTATTGGGGATTTAACTAACATTTTTGGAGTCATTATGAATAATAATGGAGGTTTTTGTTTTAACAATTGGATCATTGATTCCCTATTTCCTTGTTTGGTTAATGAAGAACGTAAACCCATTAAATAGTTGCCATGAATTGAACACCTATATACTCCATATCACTTTCAATGTATGCCAACAACTCACATCCCTATCATTACTATTTGCCACAAGTTTTGAGCCGCTTGTTATTTTGCTTGAACCAAAATTGGAACCTTCTGTATTCTGTGTTTAATGCTCGAACATATTACTGTTGTTTTGAAGAGTTTTGGGGCTGTTTGTTTCCCTGGAATTTGTTGGAAAGTGGGACCGACGTACAGGAATTCTGTCAGAATCAAAATTTTCAACCAAAATTTTATGTTCTGTTGGATGGAAGTTTGCTAAGGATTTTGTTTGGAATTTGCTGCAACGTTAACAAATACCCATACTAGAAATACCAGCTTCTCTTGTCTGAAAGAGAGTAAATTGGTCTCCGCATGACACTTTCCGTTCGGCCAAGCAAAAACTAAATAGAATAAAATAAAATAAAATAAGAAGGAATTTTTAGAATTTTGAGATTTCGAAGAATTCTCAATTCGTCAGTTCTCCAGCATCCAAATTCTAGAGACAAGCTGCTCCTTAGATTCATTCCTACAGCATTATGTACCTTCTCTGACAACATCATATGTGGGCTTGTCAACAAATTTCCACAAACAAGATTGTCTCCAATTTACTTTGTTGAATAATTTCCCTTTTGCAGAGGCTGTTGGCCTATAAACTGTTCACCAGCTAAACCTCACCGAAGCTCACACATTTGACATTATTAGATCACATCCTTTATGTACACCTACACTTTAGAGAAGGAAGAAAAGATCTCTCAGTGGCCTGTCTGTACTGTTATGATGGTTTCTTGTCAAAATTTTCATGCTTCACAAGTGCATATGATTGGGTTTTAGTAGCTTTCTCCCCATCCTTTCTATCTCGTTATTGTTTTAAGCCTTTACCCATCAAACTGGCCTTGTGTGGTTCAAGGTGTAATGAAAGATTTGAGAAATTGCTGCTACTAGTAGTTTGATGGATGCGAAACACCTCTTGATTATTGTCATCCCCACATTCATCAAAATTAAATCTGTTTCTCCTGTTCTTTATGTAAGTATCTTTCTGCCAGAGATATTTAAGTGATGCCCACACAACCTAGAATTTTTGTTTGTTAATGAGATCAAGACTATTATTTTGATAACTTCGAGGGCTTGAGGAAAAAAAAGTGGGCATTCTAAAGGGTTCAAAATTGAAACACTGCAAGCCAGCAATTTACCTTTCTTTCTTCGTCCATCCGATCATATTTTTCCTCTTACGCTCTTGCTAGTCTTTACCACTTTTAGTATCTGGTACCGTTAACTTGAGCATCAAATGATGGCATGGCAACACCAAGTCTGCAGAGGAACATACTTTCAATGTTTTTACGTATCTATGTTTTTACAATTCTGTTAACCTGTCATGATCTGCTTGACCAACATCTTTTTCATCATCATCATCATCTGCAGAGATCCTTTAATTTACATTAGGTTTTTCGACAAAGATACTTCGAACGTACAAAGAGTCGTAACATTTTGTAATGATTTGAGCTTTGTCAACTAAGATCTCATTTTAGATTTTTCTTTTGATATTATTTATTTTAATGGACTGAGATGGAAGTTTTAAATGTGATTTTTCTTTAGCTTAAAATTTTATTTTATGTAGAGATAATTAACATTAAAAAAGATAAAAGTACGGTCTAAAAAAGGTTTGTATTAATTCTAGTATGTTCTGCTGTAAATTTATGCATTTTTTTAAATTTTCCTTCTGCAGAAATGAGAAAGGTATTTACTATGCTCTTGATCTGGAAGGTACAAATCTTAAAGTTTCCCGGGTTCAGCTTGGGGGTGGAAGGTCTATGATTTTAAGACATGAGGTTGCACAACAACCGATTCCTAGAAATTTGATGACTGGCACTAGTGAGGTAATTGAAATATTGAATCCCCTTCTATTCTGTTTTATTTTGCTTTTCCTGAGATCTTTTGTATGTTACAGCTGACTTCTGATATCAGCTTCATCACAAATTTATGCAGGACCTGTTTGATTTTATTTCTATGACACTGGAACAGTTTGTTGCTAAAGAGGAGGATGATTTTGAGCAAAGACCGGACATAAGTAAAGAACTTGGATTTACATTTTCGTTTCCTGTCAGACATTTGTCTGTTTCCTCTGGCCTTCTTATCAAGTGGACGAAAGGATTTGCGATTGAGGATGCTGTAAGTTAAAGGATATATTGTTTGTCATACTTTTAGCTTTCTTCAGGTCCTACAACCTAATCTCGCAAACTCTATGCGGACATTGTAACAACTTTGCTCGTCTTCTGCTTTTGCAATGCTTCTCTATCTAGATTATGGGCCATCTTTGACGCTAAATGTTCCTTGTTTTCCAATGATACTAACAAAACATAAGTTATTAATTGTTACAAAATAAACATATAACCCTCAACCCTCACCATAATTTCAGAGGTTTGGTGTAGTGACAGGGACTTTAACATAGTATTAGAACACCCCAAGTTCAAATCCCACCGGCCATGAATTTAAAGCATATTTTCTAAAAAATTGACACCACTGCACGAGTCTTGGTTTCGATGGTGCTTAACATGTGTGGGCATGTTAGGATATAAAACTGTAACCCTCAATGTAATAGTTAGGAATTTGACATTAATGTTATATTGTTAGGATAATTAATCTGGCAAGTGTTTTACTTTTGCAATTACTTCTAGTTTTCTGAGAAATTTTACATGCATCAATGCATATAGATGAGAACTTTGTTGCTTTTTAAATTTAGTGCTAATCACAGATAGAGCCCTTATAGTTTTGAACTTAAAGCACTCAAGTTTTATTGTTGCAGATAGGCCTTATGAGTGAATTTGTTTGACTCTTTTTTCCCTCAAAGAAAGAGAAATTTCCTTTTTCTTTTGACAAATAGATCCCCTGAAGATAAAAGAGGCAAAAAAAAAAAAAATCACTCAAGGGGTCTATCTGCAACAACAAAGCTAGAGGGATAGTAAGCTCAAAACAATGACGTTACAGGGGGTCCATCCACAACTAACCCTAAAAAATTTATCACCTTTCATTGTTCCTGTTAATAGAGTTAAGTTACCTAACATCAATTTCGGTAATTAGGTTGGAAAAGACATTGCTCAGTGCTTAGATGAAGCCATGACCAAGAGGGGGCTTGATATGCGAGTGGCAGCTTTGGTATGGTTCTATCTCCTGTGATTGTTCTAGCTTAAAGTTAATGGAAACAACATTTGACCGACCCTTTTGATATTCACTACTCAGAAATTATTTAGTAATTTATGTGTCTTACATAGTAGTCAATATGAGCAGGTTAATGATACTGTGGGAACATTGGCACTCGGTCATTATCATGATAAGGACACTGTTGCTGCTGTGATTATTGGAACAGGCACCAATGCCTGCTATGTCGAATGCACTGATGCAATTATTAAATGTCAAGGACTTTTTGCAGATTCTGGTGGAATGGTATACTTCATTTATTCTTACTCTATAGTGTGTTTTAGATATTAGTCCTCAAATCTTTAATAATCCCATACTACTTCAAATCTTTGAAGGTACTCATACGTCCCTCAAATGCCAAGGGATCTTTCAATTTGGCCCCTCAATGACCAAAATACCCCTCATCTTATGTTTTCCACCAAAAACCACAAACTCCTTTATGATCAGAAAGCCAGTAAGCGTCAGGGGGGGGGGAGGGGGGTATTTTGGTTATTGAAGGACCAAAGTGCAAGACCTGTTAGGATCGGAGGGACGTATAAACAATTTCAAAGATTTGAGGGACTAATATCTAAAAAAACCTACTCTATTGGGGTTCTGAAATGCATGGTTTTTTTATGCAACACAACAGTCAGAAATGTGACTGAATCATTCTGCTGATTAGGTAGTTAACATGGAATGGGGGAATTTTTGGTCATCACATTTGCCGAGAACTTCGTACGATATTGAACTAAATGATGAGAGCCCAACTCGTAATGATCAGGCAAGGTTCTATTGTTTTCCCCCTTTGCATCTAATATTGCTATGTTGCTTCCTTTTTTTTAAAAAAAATATATTCTGCTGATGCACTTTTTTTACAGGGTTTCGAGAAAATGATTTCAGGAATGTATTTAGGTGACATTGTAAGAAGGGTCCTTTATAGGATAGCACAGGCGTCGGATGTTTTTGGAGATGCTGCAGCTTGTTTATCTGTTCCTTTTGTACTCAGGTATGTGGTATAGGAATCCTGTCATGCTGTGTTCTCTCTGTTTCTGCCGTAGGAGAGGTTGCTCCTGAATTCTTATCAAAACACAATACCATCAACATCATAGGCTAATGGCAACCGTCCTAGCAGCTTTATTGTTGTGATTGCATTTAAATATCTTCAGATGCAGGACCATGTTTTGGCATTTGAAGCTTCTCTTTGACTCTTTATACTTCTCTGAATCTTATAAGTTGAAGTTCTTTTTGTATAGATCAATTATTGGTTTTTATGTTGCCCTTGGAAAATTTCATTTTGGATCAAAGTGCAGGTGTATCCATGTATTTTTATTAGTCTTTTTCCCGGCGCGCAAGTTTGGTACCAACTAGTCAATTGTCTCGCGGCTCTTTCTTGATTTTGATGCATGCTCCATAAATACCAGTTGATTGGGAAAAGCCTCAGATGCAATGGTGGCTTCTCGCGGCTCTTTCTTGATTTTGATGCATGCTCCATAAATACCAGTTGATTGGGAAAAGCCTCAGATGCAATGGTGGCTCTTTCTTGATTTTGATGCATGCTCCATAAATACCAGTTGATTGGGAAAAGCCTCAGATGCAATGGTGGCT